GCCACTCACCCTCAGCCTGGCCTCACCAGTCAGACGTGGTGAGTCTCTGCCCAAATATTTAACCCATGACGGTTTGGGCCACGACTGGGAACCTGCGGGGTGGGTCAGGTGGGGGACTTTGTTCCCTTGGGGCTCAGCCCGGCCCCACCTCAGGGCAAGGCCAGCTCCCAAACCAGCCCCCTCACTGGCTGGGTGGGGCAGGTTCAAGGAAAGTGACTTCTGGACTCCTCCCTGGCCCGCCCATTATTCCAGCTGAAGCCCAGCACCAGAAGGGACCCGGGGTGAGGGGACAGCCAGCCCCAGGGACCTGGCAGTCCTGCTGGAGATCAAAGGACAGCTCAGCAGGAGCTTATGGTCAGACAGGCGTGGGTTCCAAGTCCTGTTAGGCCACTTACTGCTTGGACCATCCCAGGCAAGCACCTCACCCTTAAGACGCCTCAGTCTCTCCACCTGTCACCTGGGGGTGACAGCTGAGTCATCATGGTAATTTGACACTTACTGAACACACCTCACCAGACAGCAGACACGTTCATGGGCACTACCTTGACAGCATCCTCACACTAACCCCTGGGGAAGGTTTGTCTGCCCTTTTAGAGATGAGGCAACCAAGGCTCAGAGATGTCAAGGCACCTGCCCAGGGTCACACAGCTTATGAATGGGAGCCAGGATCGTCTCCTCAGACAGTCTTGCTCTAGAGGCCACATGATCAAACACTGGGTTACAGCTAGCTACTCACAGAGGTGCAGAGAAAATTACGTGAGCCAACGTATAGCAACCACCACCATCACCACAGTAGTATGAGCTCACATTTACTTTCTATTGCCAGGCTCCCTTCTCACTTCTTAATCTTCATTACAACCTCAGGTAGGTGGTGGCCAAGTGGGTAATCAATCATATAATTATCTCCACTTTACTGATGTGAAAATCGAGGACCAGAGAGGTTCAGTAACTTTCCCAAAGTCACACAGTAGTTAAATGTCAGAGCCAGAATTCTAACCCAGGCAGGCCCCAGAGACCAGGCTGGTTAACAACACCATGTGACAGTCCTGCTGGGCTGCCACCCCATCACAGGTGCTCAACAGATTCACTTAAAGGCCACATGCCCCAAACCCCAATGGGATACCATTGCTCACCCACTAGGATGGCAATAATCAAATACACAGTAACAATTGTTGGCAAGGATGTGGAGAAATCAGAACCCACACACACTGCTGGCCGGACTGTAAAACGGTACAGCCACTTTGGAAAACAGTCTTAAAGTTTCTCAAAAAGTTACACATCAAGGTGCCCGCGACCCAGCAATTCTACCTGACATCTGCCCAAGAGAGATGAAAACACAGGTCCACACAAAGACTTGTACACAAATGTTCACAGCAGCGCTACTTACAAGAGACAGAAAGTGGAAACAACATGGTCAACTAACGAATAGATACAATGTGGACCATGCACAGAATGGGATAAAATTCTGCCAAAAATGAATGCAATGCTGATACACACTACAGTACGGGGAAACCCTGAAACCACAATGCTAAGTGAAAGAAGCCAGACACAAAAGCTCACATATGGAATGATTCCACTTACATGAAATGCCTAGAATAGCAAATTCATAGAAGCAGAAAGTAGATTCATGGTGGCCAGGGGCTGGGGTAGGGTTGGGGATTAGGTGGGGAGTGAGTGCTAAAGGGTGTGGGTTTCTTTCTAAGGCGATGAAATGCTCTAAAATTGATTATAGTGATGGATGATAATTC